TCTTGACTTTCAATACCATATCTTCCCGGAAACTTATATTTATCACTTTCGTTCCTTTTACTGTTATAATTATTATTTCTAAAGTTACTCTTAAATTTAGAATGAACATGGAAAATGAAAACTTCTGTCCTGGAGAAAACAGCCACTAGATTTTGGAGATTACAACCTTATGTTTTGGGCTATTGAGCAGAGAGGGTTTTTTTTAAGTTGTATTTCACAGAGATATCTCACTATCCTCACAGAATATCCAATAAAGATTAAAGCAATAATATTTCTACAGGAGTTAAATAGGACTCTAGAGAAATAACTTTAAACACTAATAGCCTTTTCATAGAGCTCTATAGGGCTATATAAGTACTTTTAAAGTGCATTGCACTTGCTGTTACATACTTCCCATTCAAAGCAGGAGGATATGGCTGTGACTGAAAAGATGGAAACAGCTAGCCACGTGACAATTTTCAGGAACCATAGCCACATTCTATTCCCAGTCACTTTCAAGCAGGAAGAAGTAGAGTTCAACCCATGCTAAGCACTACTGAAGGCAAATGATTGCATACATGGATGGCTGCATGCATGAACAGAAACGCTTTCAGGCTAAAGTTTGCCTATAACAATGCCACTATTAGACCCAGCAATTTCAATAGCGTGGCTTCCAAGAACTTTATTGTCTTCAAATTCCACAGCAAATCTTCTCAAGAAAGCAGCTGGACCAGTAGAAAGGACTGGCCTTCAGGCTCTACAGAAAATTGTATTTTCAAACTGTCCCCATGAAGCCTTCAAGACATGCATGAATCCATCATTAATACATTCACTCATTATCTCAACTTACACTTTAGGCCAAAAAGTTAACTCTATGAGGTTTTTAGTGCTGTGCACAATAAAAACTTCACCTTGAGTATTAAGCTCATTAACTGAAATGAGGAACACCAAAGATTTAATTTTCACAGAAGCCTAACAGCTGGTTTACTGTCACTATGGGTCTTTTTTCTTTTAAATTCCAGTCTTTGTATACAGAGCTAATAGCTGGATGATGAGCAAAAAAGGGGTTTTAGCAAGTTTTTCATCATATCTCCTCCTCCACACACTTGTGCACTCGCCTACACAGATTAAGCACTCTAAGTGAAATAGGAAACCTGATAATGGTTTCAGTATATCCAACATGTTTCTTAATAATGATGATCAATTCCTCCCCAGCTGACTTTCAACGACTTCTAGTAATAAAGATAGACACTGGATGATGCTTCATTGGTAGTATTTCTCAGAAAGCTCTGCAACTACAGAAGATGCCCAGAGAAAAGCATTGTAATAGGCTGCATAAAAGAACTGTGACCAGCAGGTTGAGGGAAGTGATTTTCCTCCTCTATTCTGCTGAGACTCTGCCTGCAGTTCTGCATTCAGCTCTGGAGCCCCCAGTATAATGAAGACATGGACCTGTTAGAGCAAGCTGAGAGGAGGGCCACAAAGATGATCAGAGGGTTGAAGCACCTCTCCTACAAAGACAGGCTGAGAGAGTTGGGCTTCCAAATGGAGAAAGGACGACTGTAGGGAGATCTTCCTGAGGACTTTCAATATATAGTGGAGGCTTATAAGAAACATGGAGGGGTTTGGGTTTGGTTGTTTTGTTTTGCTCTGTTTCTTGTCTTTTGATTTGGGTTTTTTGTTTATGTTTGTTATTTTTGCTGTTGTCACCTAGTTGGTTCGGCCTGGATTTGTTTTGTTTTTACCAAGGCTTGTAGTGACAGGACAAGGGACAACGATTTTAAAAGAGGACAGGTTTAGGTCAAAAATAAGGAAGATGTGGGCAGAGAGACACTGGAACAGGTTTCCCAAAGTTGTGCATTCCTCACAACTGGAGACATTCAAGGTCAGGTTGAACCGGGCTTTGAGCAATGTGGTCTAGTGAAATATGTCGCAGCCCATGGCCTGTATTAGACTAGATGATCTATACAGTTCCATTCCAACCCAAACCTTTCTGAGATTCAATGATACTATGAAATTACCTTTTACTTGCAGATGTTCAAGGCATGGGATTTATATTTACCAACAGAGACATTTTTAAAACTCACTGAAAAATTAGGCATATTTTGCCTGAAATATATAGGCAAATCAGTAGGGGAGGGCCTTCCAAGATATACTATCAAGTGCTTTGAGCAATATCATTATCATACTTTAACAGTCACTCTGTTGTGCATATGCATTGTCTCTGAAATGTATCACAATAACACATTTTGTCACTTGGTTTCTAATACACATGTGACAGTAGGCATACACTTCTTTCCTTGACTGGGACACTGCAATCAGCTAGCCTGACTACATAGAAGAAATATATTAGTAGTAGTTTTTAGAAAGATGCATTATTTCATATATTTTTTAAGGCAATAAATCCTAGAGATATGGGTGAAACTGACAGAAAACTTAATTGCATCCATTATTAGAAAATTACTCTGTGACAGACAATGCAGCCAACTGCTAGGACCTCTGCCATAGCATTTTACTTTTCTCAAAACTCATTGCTTGAAGCAGTCAAGAGAAAAAGGACAGAATTCAAAGAAGGACTTAAAGGTTCCATAAAGCAACTGTACAGCTTTCTAACATGGTAAATTGAGATGCAACATCTTGCTAAAGAATTACTTTTTTTTAATTAGAGTAAAACTTAGTTTTGTATGCAAGAATGCAGAAACTGAACACAAAATATGTGTTTGCATTTATGCACTCATTCTTTTAAAAATCTTTTAAAATTTTTTTTGTTTTGTTTCTAGAGGAAAGTCCTACATTTTATAGGCATATGAGAAATAGAAAGCAGGTCTTTTTGACAGCCATAGAGGAAAACCAAAACACAAGATCATGATTTCAGAGTAATATATACTGTCATAAATATTTGATGAGTTACCGGATAGCCATTTCGCCCTGGTAGACCCTGGTTGAATGAGATGAAATGGTACGACACACATTAACAATGCAGTCATGACATACGACATAACAAACATGCAGAGTACATTACTGGCAGATTATAATTTGCATATCAATTAACTGTTGATATGTGATGACATTACAAACCAATAAATATGAAATATGTACTACACAGTGAAGAAATGAAAATTATATGTTTTGACTTAAATAAACCCTCTAACTAAAAGGCTAATGGCTCTTCTGATGTTTATTGAAATTCCTTTTGTTATTAAGAGAATTATCCATTTAGACTGAAGGGCAGTATGTGGTTAAAAGGAAAACAGATTTAGTGCTTAGGCAGTAAAGTATTACATACATAGGCTGCCACTAGCACACAGGTGCCAAAGAAGAAATTTGAGAATGCTATAACAGATCATAAAAAAAATAAAATAAATGAAAGCTGCAGCCTTTGAATTCTATTACATGTGATACTCAGTAGTCATGTACCAGGAAAATAAGCAGAGCACTACGGTAACCATTGAAAATACAACATCCACCTAATCCCTATGTGGGATAAACAAATATTTGCTATTTTAAATGAAAATTATTACCACAGTCTCCCAGATGAAAACAATAAGTTCACACCAGTTGCCCCTAGCCAGACTGTGTCTATGAAAATAAAAAAGTTATTTGGGAACAGAAATTACATTTTGCCTTGTAGCAACTTAAACCCTTACTGCCTCTCAGCGAGATGAAGTCCTGTAGGTTTTGAATATGAAAGTAGAACTTAATTCAGATTCTTCGTAAAATTATTCCATTTTGGGAGCCACAATTGAGACCCTTTCTTTCTTTTTTAAAATGGACCTGTACTAAAACAGCAGGGAGCTGAAGTCAAAGACATTCATAATGAGACACACAGTGAACTTTTGCCACATTGTCTTACTACAGAAAAATTGTTTTTATCTTGATTTACAGTTGCTCTTTGTGTTTCATGGGAAGATTGCAAAAGAAATGGGGGAAGATGGTGTTTCTTTCAAATAAACAGTACCTTTATGCATTAAGCATGGCTTTTCATTGATGGCTTATTAAATGAATTTGACACTGTGAGCTACAAAGTACGTGGTCAAAATCTGTCAGGCAGGGATAAGTAGTATCACTGCTCAGTATATACCATTTACAGTAAAATTATTAGGTCATAGAAGGAATTCAACATACTAATTCACCTTTCCCAAGCACGCATGTAGCATAGAATAGACAAATAATCTGGTCCTGAAAATATTGTGGAAATGCTATATCAATCAAAGAAAAAATAATAGAAGCCTGCAGACACTGTAAAAGAAACGCTCTTTTAATGGTCACACTTTTACACCATATGGTGCGCATGAATGGCATGACAAATAGAAATGTTTAAGATACGAGTGTTTAGTCCTGTTCTTCCAAGTCTGACTTTTGACCTACTCCAGGAATGTACAACAAAGTAAACAAAACCCAACCAAGTTAATAACCTAGCTGCAAAACAAAACCATCATAAAACCCCAGAAGAGAGAAACTGTTTTCTTACAAATAGGATTAGCACAAGATTGAACTAATTTACTAAACTGAACAGTATTATTTAATATTCATTTTACACTAGCACATACTGCCTTCAGCTGTGACTATTCTGCAATAAGCTGGATAGCTCATATACCTCCAAAGAACAAGGACCGGATACCCCAAGACTTTGTGATGACTGCAGCGCAAGTTACTACCTAGAAAAAGGCAGAGTGACCGCGTCTGGGCTTAAGATACTATACTTGCACATTTTATACTGTATTAAAGTATCTGTTATCAAGGCATAAACAAAATGAGCATAACATACTTACATGGAATTGTGATCCAAACTGTTATCTGGAGTGGTGACTATAAAGCTTTATTGGTTTAGAGAATTTTTTCTTAAGGAACTTTCTGATTAAATTATTCAGCTCCAAGATAATTAGTGAATATTTACACTGTGTAAGTATCAAAATTCCCTCTTGATGATACATGATCATTTTATCACAGTGATAACTTAACAGGATCTAACAGATTTCTCCCTGATTCTGGAAGAACCAACAATGTATCACTGTACTTACAGGAGGTCCTGTGGGATAGGGTAGAGGGAAAGAGGGTAAAAAAAAAGAGAAAAAAAGAATGTGTAAGCTTATGAAGTTATTAAAGAAAGACACATATGTATGAAGCTAAGCATAAGGCCTCAGGATTGTAAGTGAGCAGCACTACTAATACACTGTACACATTTTCCCATTCAAGTACTTTTTAGCTTGGTTGTGCTTTGTAACTTGTAAATATGACTAAGGCCTAAATGCATGCGCTTACCTTACCGATTCTTCAATTACAGTCATGCAATCTTATGCAAGTTGCTTCTCCATCGATTTCCATGCAATTTCATGCCAGTCCAAGAATACCAGCCATGGACTACAATTCATTTTGTCAGTCTCCGCATCAAGCATATGTAACCACATCACCAGTTTCAGTTAGCCACACAGTTGGTATTTGATCACAGCTTGGCTGCAAAATTGCACAAAGTACCCTTGGCATTTAACCTGGGCATCTCATCAAGACATATAGGTACGAGGACCTTCCAGCATTCCAACTTCGCCTATAAGAAGAGGTTTTAGTGGTGACCTGGCAGGGCTGAACTTTCTTTTCATCACCTTCCTTTCTTAAGGAACACATATAAAATGCTTCCCATTAAAATGTCACACTTTGTGAAGTGATATTTGCACATTTTTTCAATTATTTAGACTCAAAGACCTGTACAGCAGTTCTTGGAAACATTATCAAAGGGCCACAAATCAAATCTACTATTTCAGTCTTATTAAGTTGAGCAGCTGCAGTTCCCAAATCAATGGCATTTCATTAAGCTTTTATGCCTCTCTCTAATTTCTGAATAAAGTGAAGTGCAAAAGGAATATAAAACAACAGCAGCTGTACTTTGAGATTGCTTTTAATATTGACAGCCTTTTGGTTTTAACAATGCAATTTTATTGTCCAGTAACTAAGGTAATCTCTTTATCCTGGTAAACATTCTTAAACACCATTTTAAGGTGCAGGTCTGTTTTTAAATGAGATCAATTTCCCTTATTAATAGTTTAATATGTGTTTATTTGAAATGTAAAATGAATCAAAAAGCATCCTGCAAATTGTCAGGATCATTTGTAAGACAATCCTCAAACACAGAATTTCCTTCTGTACCACAGGATTTTTCTTTGAAGCAAATACTAAGCCAACACTGAATGGAAACACCAAGGTGATTTGTATTAACCTTTGGCAGGGCTTGGCTCCAGTTTTGCGATGCAGGAAAATATGGAAATAATTTTTAAAAGTCAGATAAATGATCATTTACAGAGATAAGAAAAGCTACAGGAGATTTACAGAGATCAAGTTGATTGGGAGATTTTCCTAACTGGCAGATTAGACGAGACAGCCAAGGAGGGCAGAAATGCTCATTTTCTCCTGCATTGCCTCCAGAAAATTCACCTCTATGAAGAACTCAATCTTGCAAGGTAATCAACAATTCCAATTCTTGTGAATGTCAGCAGGAAGAGGTGCTCAGCATCTCACAACATTGTCTTAAATGAAATGTCAAGCTCCTTACCACCAGCAGGATCTTCTCAACAGCAATCCCCCTGGTATGGGGTAATGAACCAACAAATGTTTTTCCGTAAGAACTTACTTGGCACTCATTTCTAGTAAAAACAATTTCTCTCATACAGAGCAGTCTACTTATCATGTTATTTCCCTGAGTACTGATACTCTTAACATAAAAAAAATCATTTTGCTCTTTATTTCCTTATACAATTGTTCACTTTGGACCAAGGGGGCTTGATGTAACACTGACTTATAGCACTCCAACTACTGAATGACATGGAGTTACTCTAACTTGCACAAGTGTGCGAAGACACCAAAATGTTTTGATGACTAGAATATGTTACAAATGATACCATGTCAAGCATTCTGAAGTCTGCCTACAAATTAGTGATGCCCAAGACTAGAAAACTATCTGGAAAGCCATCAGGTATATGCCAAGGGTCACAAATCTTTTTCAGAGACATTTCAGAACTCTCTTTTGTAGCACTCAAGTAATAAAACTAAAAATGAAGGCATGCTGGCTATGTATCCTCACAAAAACACAGGTGCCAAAAAACAATGGATCTTATGAAACTGAAAACTTACCAGTCTCTCCTCTTCTGCCCCGCTTACCTCTTTTCCCTGGAGGACCTAAAAAGAAGATGGTGGGTTGTTACTTTTTTCCTTGAAATTATGTATGGAATATCATTTGTGTTCAGAGTAAGGCCATTAAATAGATAACATTACATGAAATCCCAAGACTTTGGCAGAGCAGTGGTAAAAAATAATCAGAATAAGATTTAGGAAGTTGAAGATAAAATTGACAGCTACATTACTCACTACAGGCTGTCAGAGAAAAGGCTGGGAGAAACTTTAGAGGTCATTCAGTTCATCTCTGTTACTCAAGGAAAAAGTTAACCATATCTAAATTATTATTTCAACTTCCACAGGCATTTTTTTTCCCCCATATTTCACTGTTCTGACAAGTGGAACATTTTTCTTTATGTCTTACTTGCTGCACTAAAACCCATCAATTCTTGTGCATTCTACCACAAACTCTAGAGAAGAAATCGTTCCTTTTATTTTCTCAAAAAAAGTCTTTGTGTTCCTCAGAATTGCTGCACCATTCCTTCAATCTTCCTAAACCAAACTTAACACAGGGCATTAAATTTCATTCAGTTGTTCCTGTATTAAGCCCAAAGATCAGCCTTTATTTATAACAGCAAATCCTCTGGAAAATGCTTGCAGCTTCTATGTGAAAACACAGAAGAGATGAAGAAACCATCGCATGGTTCACCATCCCCCAAACACTGACAAGGTTGTATGTGTTGTTAGACACTAAGGTGGCTTTGCTTCTAGTTTTTATCTGTTAGCCATAAACCAATGGCTTAGTCTTTGTATGCTTTCTGCTAAGGACCTCCTTTACTCCTCACGGTCCTTTCTTCACAAATATTTACATACTGTAGTCACTGTCTGCTGCCACCTCAAAAGAAAAAGAAAAGAAAATATTTTTGTCCCTTATTTCTGCAATTCAATCTTAAACATCCTTTCTAAACTGGAGACATCAGTACAACATTCTTCCTCTCTTCTTGGTGACCTTGATGTATTGTTCCTGAATAAGCAACGAAAGTACACTTGCACTTCTTATACAGCTTAGGAAGACAGCAACTGTGGCAGTGACATAGAGCACTGAAATGCTGCTGCTCTGAAAAGAGAACCACAGGTGGGACTCAAAGCTTCTGAGAGGCAAGTGCACGGGTGGAATTTCCAAAAGCAGCAACGCATGCAGGAGCACAAGTACCTCTGCTGTGGCTGTATCTCACCGTTTGTAATAGATACTAGGCGCACAGGTGGTTTTGTGGAAATAGTTAAGCAACTGTCTGCTACTTTCAGCAACTACATGATTTTACAAATCATCTGAAGTATCATCTCATAGCTTGAAAACACAAACGACAAATCTTACTTTCCATTATATATATATATTTGCAACAATCTGGCTTAAAAGACTAAGATGCTGAAAAGCAACACAGTATCACATTAGTGATGCTATTTCAATACATATGTTAAATCGTTAAAAAAAAAATAAAAAGAGAAGCAGCTCTTGCCTTGAAGGTAGAGAGGTTTACTGCTATCAGAACATTATGCATCTCACCGAAATCCTTCTTTCTTGTTCTGCTTTAAAAATTACCATAGTGGCATAATGCAACGCAAGATTAAGATAACAATACTATAGAAAGTATGAATGGTATAAGATATTCATAACCAACAGCATACTTAACAAATATATTTTGTTGTTATATGCTGAAATATAGTGAAAGCGTCACTCAATGTGGAGAATCTTGAAACTCTTCTAAAACACTTCAACCTCTTCAAGAAATAGCTATGGAAACTTCTTACACAGGTAATGGCATGTTATAACATGGTACAAGCTTCCATACACACATGCATTTTTTTTCAACCTAACTAACACTGAAAAGCGTGAGTCCCTATGCCTGCACCTATCCCTGCAGCACTCCTCAGTGGATATTTCTTGGGCTATTCCTCCCAAGCTCACAACACAACCGTGCAGCACGTTGAGCTGATCACAAAAACGGATGTGCAGGTCTGCAATACTCAACTATCTGTCAAGATGGTGGTGTTTGTAAACCTCATAGAAACTGTGGCATAAGAGGTGAATCCTGTACACTTCTACTGGGTTTTGGGGACCACTTGAGGAAATATTTATTTATTTATTTATTTACCAATACAAACCAATTCATTTTAGACAGTTAACCACAGATGGTTCCAGTTCACAGAAACACTAATGCTGACATTTAAGGTCATCACTAGATGACTTATTACTTCAGAAAGTACAAGAGCTTTCATGTTTTCCTGAACAGGCTGCTTTCTCTAAATCTTAACTGCTAACATCATCTGTTGCTCCAAGAGTTTCCAGTTATCAAAACCCTCGGCATTTTGCTATAAATATTAATTTTCCATCTGTCTATGCTTTTATAACTTTGCACTAATTGGAGGATTTGGTTGAAACTTACTGCAGCAGAAGGAACAGTGAATAAAGTTACACTAAGGACAATGTCAGCTTGCAAATCCAAAGATTTTTACAGCTTGCACAAGGTGCACAACTTGCCTGGGATAAAAAACTCTCTAGAACAGTATCAGAAACATCCATGCTGAATTGAATTTAATCCAGAATATTTAAAAAGTAGTTTGCTTTGAACATTTTTTTAATATTAAAATATAGAAAATATAGAAAATATAGAAAACTTAGAAATAAAAACAAAAGTTTGAAACTCTGGAATGAGCTGGGTTAATAAAGATTAATGATACTGAGCAATACGCAAAAGCTATTTTACAGTAGTTTGCCAATATACTGTTTTCCTAAGACCACTACATTTGCCTACAGGTAGGGAGTAAGAGTAAAATGCCAGATCAGCTGGTTTTCATTTTCAACTTAGTTTAGCTTCAAAATATTTGAAATAATTTTATGCTTCCAAAAACATTTCTTAATCTAGTTTTTATGAACAGAAAGTTTTTAAAAGATTTTTTTTCTCCTTCAAATGTAAAAAAAATATAATGGCACTGCTATTGCATATCTACGCAGGGAAGTTTGAAAATTAAAGAAACTGGGTGTGAGTGTGTGCTATACTTCCAAAAAACTAAGAGTTAATTACTTACCTGAATTTATCTTCTCAAGCACTAAATGTCAGCTACCCCAAAATTTTGCCAGTCCCCTCATCATCCTCGTGGCCCTCCTCTGGACTTGTCCCAACAGTTCCATGTCCTGTTGATGTTGAGGACACCAGAACTGCACACAATACTCCAAGTGAGGTCTCACAAGAGCAGAGTAGAGGGGCAGGATCACCTCCTTTGACCTGCTGGTCACACTCCTTTTGATGCAGCCCAGGATACTGTTGGCTTTCTGGGCTGCAAGTGCACACTGAAGCCGGCTCATGTTCATTTTCTCATCAACCAACACCCCAAGTCCTTCTCCGCAGGGCTGCTCTGAATCTCTTTTCTGCCCAACTTGTAGCTGTGCCTGGGATTGCTCTGATCCAGGTGTAGGACCTTGCACTTGTCATGCTTAAACCTCATGAGGTTGACATCAGCCCACCTCACAAGTGTGTCAAGGTCCCTCTGGATGGCATTCCTTCCCTCCAGCGTATCAACTGAACCACACAGCTTGGTGTCATCGGCAAACTTGCTGAGGGCACACTCAATCCCATTGTCCACGTCAGTGGCAAAGATGTTGAACAAGACCAGTCCCAACACCGATCCCTGAGGGACGCCACTCATTACTGGTCTTCAGCTGGATATTGAGCCATTGACCACAACTCTTTGTGTGCAGCCATCCAGCCACTTCTTTATCTACTGTCGTGGTTTAAGCCCAGCGGGCAACAAGAACCACGCAGCCGTTCATTTACCACCGCCACCCCCCCACCTTTCCTCCCCCTGCTCCCAGAGGGATGGGGAGGAGTATTGAAAGAATGTAACTCCCATGGGTTGAGATAAGAACAGTCCAGTAACTAAGGTATAACACAAACCACTACTGCTGCCACCAATGATAGTAATGATAAGGGAAATAACAAGGGAAGAGAATACAACTGGCCACCACCAGCTGACCAACACCCAGCCAGACCCGAGCAGCAATCTAGCTCTTCTGGGTAACTGCCCCCAGTTTATATAGTGGTCATGACGTGCTGTAGTATGGAATACCTCTTTGGTTAGTTTGGGTCAGGTGCCCTGTCCTGGCTTCCCCTCCTCCCTGGCAGAGCATGAGACTCACAAAGTCCTCGGTCAGAGTAAACATTACTGAGCAGCAACTAAAAACATCGGTGTTATCAGCATTGTTCCCAAGCTGAAAGTCAAAAACACAGCACTGCATCAGCTACTAAGAAGGAGAAAAATGACTGCTACTGCTGAACCCAGGACACCTACGGAGTGGCCCATCCATCAAATTGATGCCTCTCCAATTTAGAGACAAGTATGTAGTGTGGGACAGTGTCGAACACTTTGCACAAGTCCAGGTAGATGACGTCATCTGCTCTGCCCTGCCAAGAAATTGGCAAGCACACACAAAAAAAAGAGCACAAACAGAAAAAATTCTCGCATCCCACGCACAACAAACTTCAGTCAGATAACAGCTTTAGACTTTGACACTTGATACTTTAACTGAAATATAAGCAATGAAAGAAACAAGTAACTCTTCCCCATCCCTCAAATTCCACCAATTAAACCCCCAAATTCCCCTCAATCTTCAGAAGTAGCTGTCAAAATAACTACTGATGTAGTACCATTGTAAAGATCATTTAGGACCAGAATTTAAATATTAACAGCTTTTCCAAAACATTTTCAAAAATATTAACAATATTTAAAAAATATAAAAAATATTTCAAAAATATTTTAGTAATGGGTATTCTAACCCATTCAGTGATCCAAATCAGAAATAATTAGTACAGATAGACTATGGTCAGATGATTGCTGCGGTGCTGCAAAGGTTGCCTCAGTGTGCCTTATTTCTTGTTAATAATTTAATAATTTGTTCTCTATGTGCATAGCAGTGCCAGAGGTCTACAGCAGATCTGCTATATTTATACTGCTATATTTCAGACAGTTTTTACTAGATGAAAGACAATTACTATTGTATGTACTAA